CGATCTCATTAAAACTCCACCGCAGGAGCAGCAGCAGCAGCAGCAGCAGCAGCAGCAGCAGCAGACTGCAGCAGAAGACTCCTCCATAGATACTGCTCTGTGGCGATCCGAGCGCCTCTGTCTCCGCTGCCGCATGCCTCTATTAGCGCGTCGATGCGGCGCAGCAGCAGCAGCAACAGCAGCAGCATCAGCAGCAGCAGCAACAGTACCTGCTGCAGCAGCAACAGCTGCAGCTCCAGCTCCTTCGTTCCCTGAGAGGGGCTCTGCTGCTGCTGGCGTGCGGCGGCGGTTTAGGGCTTATGTGAGGCGAATAGCAGCAGAAGAGAGAAGAAGAGAGCAGCAGCAAACCAGGCGGCTGCTGCAGGACCTACAAACCCCTATACCTCCTCTCTCCAGTGACTGCACCTGCAGCAGCAACTGCAGCAGCAACTGCAGCAGCAGCAGCAGCAGCAGCGGCAGCACAAGCAACAGCAGCAGCAGCAGCAGCAGCAGCAACAGCAGCAGCAGCAGCAGCAGCAGCACCAAGGGAGATTATGATCAGCAGCAACTAGCATTCCAGCGCTGCGTGCAGCTCGTTGGAGGCGTCGCTGTGCCGGCAGCTGCAGTCAGAGAGAAGCAAATAAACTCACTCCGCAGCAGCAGCAGCAGCAGCAGCAACAACAATAGCTGCGGCAGCAGCAATAGCAGCCATTGCAGCAGCAACAATAGCAGCAGCAGCAGTAGCAGCAGCAGCAATAGCAGCTGCAGTAGCAGCAGCTCAAACGGCGGGACAGCCGTTGCGGGCGTTCGGGTTGCTGCTGCACGCCGGAGGATAGTAACCATTGTTCCATAGAGCAGGCCAGCTGCTGCTGCTGCGGCGGGAGCAGCAACTGCTGCTGCTGCAGCAGCAGCTGCTGCTCTTGCTGCTCCCGCCGCCTTCGTTTCTGTCGGCCGGAGTATCACTCCCCCAGCGGCCCTCCTGCTTCTGCTGCTGCAGCAGAAGCTGCAACAGAAGCAGCAGCAGCAGCAGCAGCAGCACCAGGTGCAGCAGCAGGAACTGCAGCAGCAGGAGCTGCTGGTGGCACTGGTGCTGCACCTGGTGCTGCTGCTGCTGCTGCAGCAGCAGCAGCAGCAGCAGAAGTGAAACTAAGTGCTGATGAGTGGACCCTCGTGACAGCAGCACTGGGGCTGCTGGCGCGGCGGGGTGTTATTGGTCTGATAGCTGTTGATGGTTCTGTATCACCACCACCATCTTCTTTTTCTTTTTCTTCTTTTTCTTCTTTTTCTTCGTTTTCTTCTCCCCCTCTCCGGCTGCTGCCGCTGCCCGCGCCGTATATACCCCCAGAAGAGAAGCAGGTAAGGGGCGGGCCAGCGGTGCATGCAGCAGAAACCCCAGCTGCAGCAGCAGCAGCAGCAGCAGCAACAGCAGCAGCAGCAGCAGCAGCTGTAGATGAGGGAGAAGCTCTTGAAGNGCAGCAGCAGCAGCAGCAGCAACAGCAGCAGCAGCAGCAGCAGCTGTAGATGAGGGAGAAGCTCTTGAAGAGGTGCGGCGGGTGTTAGAGCGCCGCAGCAAGGAGCCCCCCTTCTGGGGTTTAGGTTACAGCAGCAGCAGCAGCCAGGAGAGCAGCGCAGCAGCAGCAGCAGCAGCAGCAGCAGCAGAAGCAGCAGCAGCAGAAGGGGATGATGTGCTGTGCGCCAGGTGTCTAGATGAAGGGTGGGTATCGGAGCTGTCTCTCCCTCGACTCCTTAATGTTTATAAGAGGGAACACGTCAGCACTACATGCAGTGCACCTGCATGCAGCAGCTCAGGGGGCCGCTGCAGCTGCCGTGGTGCAGCAGCAGCAGCAGCAGCAGCAGCAAAAAGAAGGAGACCGGGAACAGCAGCAAAACCACAGGTCTTTGGCTGGAGCCGGCATAGTGCCTTCCATGGTATTGCTGCTGCTGCTCGTGCATGCAATATAACACAAGACGATGCTGAACAAACTTACAGTGAATATGCATGCATGCAGCTGGTAGAACACCAGCACTAAACAAACAACAAACACACACACAAAGCTGCTGCGGCTGCTGTTCTCTATGCTGCTCTCGCGGCACATGCTGCTGCAGCTACTGCTCCTGATTGCAGTGCTGCGGCTGCCGCTGCGNCTATGCTGCTCTCGCGGCACATGCTGCTGCAGCTACTGCTCCTGATTGCAGTGCTGCGGCTGCCGCTGCGCTAGCAGCACCTGCTGCTGCACCTGCAGCAGCAACTGCTGCTGCAACTGCAGCAGCACCTGCTGCTGCAACAGCAGCAGCAGGCGCACCGTATCTGGTGGGGAGGTGTTAGCGTGAATAGGAAGCGGACAGATATGTGTATACAGTGCATACATAAAAGTAATGACATTATTATTATTTTTCATTATTTTATGTAGTGCAGCTACTTGTAAATAATATTATATTCATCTTGTAGTGCAGAATACACAAAACCCTACACCGTAGCCTGAATACACCTAAACCTGTACACTTCAGCCCCGGCCCCCTATAGATGGTAAATAATACAATACTTGGTGATATGAGGATGAAGAATAAAAAAAGATAGTTTAGTGGGATTCAAGTGACCTACGACAAACAACTCATGGCTGAGGTGTATATGCAGCTCATCCTGTTTTTTCATGTTTTTTGAGCGCAGAAGAAGAGGAACACAAAGATACTCTATAGAGCTAGTGAAAATATATCAGGGGTTCTGCATTGCTTGTAAACTTCTCTAACAGCTGATACTGTACAAAACTCCTAACTGAAACAAGAGGAGAGTGAAACCACTGAATATGTTTGTGCCGCAGATGAAGGCTTTTCTTGAGTGTGTGCCTTCAGTAGACTTTTTATTTTATTTATAAACAGTTTGATGAATTTGTTTCTCTCTTTATTCAAGAAAACAAACAGTCACCGGCCTGTGCAACTCCCACTGAGACTGGCTTCAGGGGGGAGGAAGCGGTGCGTGAGGGCACATCCTGCTATTGAATTTTGGGATTTTTTCATGGAATATGAAATAAATGATATTTAAAAGCATTTTTAGAGAAAAAATTTTTAACTTCGCCGCAAAGATCGTTGCCTGAGGGGTCCTGTGGCAGCTGCGACGGTTTCAGCCGACCCGTTCAGGTGTATGCGGAGGTGTACAACAACAGGCCTGCAGAGTTTGGAATCCAGAACATAAATATGTTTTTGTGAATTGTTTCTTTCATGAATTTCGTTGAAACATAATTTCAGACATGAGGAATTGCTTTTGGAGTATCTTTCCCGTTTGCAGGGGAAGGATCAGCAGCGACTGATCGGCGACAAACAACAAACAAGAAACCAAGGAAGCCGAAGCTTTTCTTGAATTGGCTTCTTCCTCTAGAAACTCTAAACCCTAAACCCTAAACCCTTATTGATTTACTACAACGTTGGCTAGTTCATCTCCCTCTAACCGCTGGTTTCCTGCTGCAATCTACAGCAACAGCTGTAGTCGGCGCT